GTGTGTGTGTGTGTGTGTGTGTGTGTGTGTGTGTGTTTTCACACAGATGTAAGCAGGCACATTCATCTGTGTCTGGGTGTGTTTGTGTGGAGGCCAGAGGACATCCTGGGATGTCAATCCTCAGGTACTACCCACTGTTTTTCTTTTGAAACATGGCCTTTCATTGTCTTTTAACTTGCTCAGTAGCCAGTGAGATCCAGGTCTCCAGTCTGTAGTGGTGGGATTGTACTGTGCAACACCACAGTCGCTTAGGGGGAAAAACACAGAAAACAAAAAGCAAAAATCTTAGCTTCTGGGGACCAAACTTGGATCCTCCTACTTGCAAGGTACACACCTTACTGACAGAGCCACTTGCCCAACCCTGTATCCTGAGGTTGTGTTATTTGGTTAAGATGAATTAGAGCCATCCCTGTCAGAGGAAAATGAACTGGCATGGAGTAGTTCCTGCTCTTCTCCCAACCTGCTTCTCAGAAGAAAAGGCCCCCTGCTCTGTCTTAATCCACACGCCTTCCTCATTTCCACCTGAGCTCTTGGTCTCTTGGTTTTGAGCATTATTTCTTGACTTTCCCTGCCCTCACCACACTATGAGAGGTGAGGATTTGGTTCACACCCCTATTTCCTTCCCCAGGTAGTTCTGCAGGTTGCCATGGTTACTTTAAATAATATACATAGTTGGACATGGCCTGTGATTCTAGTATTTAGGAGGCAGAAGTAGGAGAATTATGAGCTGGAGGCCAGCCTGGGCTACATAGTGAGTATCAGTCTATCAAGGGCTATATAGCCAGGCCCTGTCTTAAAGACAAAACTATGCATATAGTTTTGACTTCAGCTAGCTGGGGTCTCCATCTTTCCTTGCTGGGAGCCAAGGACCTGACAGGAGCTCTCATATGTGCTGGAGTTGGGTCTCCACTGGAGAGCCAAGCATGCAATTTTGCCTTTTCACCTTGCTGTCACATTGGTTGTCTGTAGTCACTCTCATTAGGAGCATTTATACCACTGCCATTGGTCAGCACTGCAAACCTGCTTCCTGTTAATTGCTAATCTGTGCAGGGCACTGGGCTCCCAAGGCCATTGCAGACAGGGCTTCAGGCAAAGCCTTGCTTTAGCTTGCACTCTTGAAGAATATGGGAACACCTGGCCCTGGGGACTAGTGGGGACTAGTGAGGATGGCAGCCTCGGCCTGATACCCCCTTCCCCTCTGTTTACAGCAAAGCTTCGAGGCGCACCAAGATGAGGCGGTGAGCGTGACACACATGGTGAGAGCCGGCAGCGGCGTCTGGATGGCCTTCTCCTCTGGCTCCTCCATCCGCCTCTTTCACACTGAGACCCTGGAGCATCTCCAAGAGATCAACATTGCCACCAGGACTACTTTCCTCCTGCCAGGTGAGGCTACTTGGCTTCTCAGGGCCTGGGGTGGGGAGGAACCCCTCCTCCTGCTAGGTGAGGATGCCTGGCTTCTCAGGGCCTGGGGTGGGGAGGAACCCCTTCTCCTGCCAGGTGAGGATGCCTGGCTTCTCAGGGCCTGGGGTGGGGAGGAACCCCCTTCTTCTGCCAGGTGAGGCTGTAAGATTAGCTGGGGCTGGGATAAGGGCACTGGCACTCACAGATGCCAGCAGGCGGTTGTGTAGTGGGTAGCCCAGCTCATTAACCTCCAGGACAGCCTGGGTCAGCCTCAAAACCTGGTTCATGGTAGACAGGAAGTGGCAGGGTTGAGATTTATGCTCAGGTGTGACCTGTCCAAGCCCCCATTCCTGACTCTCTTCCCCCTGTACCTCATCTCAGCAGTCTGTGTGCTCAGGAGGTGGGCTGTCAGCCAGTAGGCTTTCCTGTGCCAGGAGCTGGAACCAAAAACACATGGACAGGAGACCTAGACTTTGGACACTGTCCCATGGCTCAGGTTGAGCAAAGCCTGTTTCTGCCTCTTTTCTATGGGCAGGAGAGGAGGCTCCCATCTGTCTCTTTCCATAGTACTTTCTCAAAGAAAGGCATACCTCTACATTTGCCATTCAGCAGGTTTGGAGGCACCATGAGGGTGAAGAGTTTGTATGACAACTTCTGGGGGACTGTACTTGCTCTTACAAAGCTGTCTGTGAGCTGAGGGGGTGAGGGAGGAGAGATTACCATTGGGGCTCATACCACATCCCACCTCACCCCTCTCCTGAAATCTCCATAGAGCTGGTTTCCATCCCTCCCCACCATTGCTGCCCATATGAAGGGGCTGCTTTGGAGACCCCGGGCAGATATCTGCTCTGGTGCACTCTGTCTTCAAACGGCTTCTGGGTTCCAATGGTGCTGTAGGCACCAACTTCTCCTGCTACCATCCTTGTCCCAGCTTCTCCCAGTCCACTTAACCTGGGGCTGGTCAGAGAGGATGACCGTTCTGTCCTGCTCAAGTACCTTAGGCAGGGCTGGGCAGCGAAACAGCAGCACTGTCACCCGTGTCTGCCAGATGGGCCGTGGCAAGACCGGGAGTGTGTTTGAGCTGAGCAAGGCAATGGCTCAATGGCCAGGACGTGGGGGTCTGAGGGCCTCTGTCCTCCCCTGAGATCTGATCCCTATTTCCAGCTGTGACCCACACATCGTCCTGGCTGCTGCTCCCTCCTGGCTAGTCAGGGCATCATCCAGGGTCAGGTGATCACGAACAAGCTAGGCAGCACCAATGACTGTTGACTCAGAGCTGCCAGTCTGCCAGAGCCCTGTGCGGAGCAAGGGTCTGCTGATGGCATCACACTGTGCTCTAAGCCTGCTAGCTGCAGATGGTCCCCAAGTTAGAGATGCAGACATAGGTTTCCTAAGCAGGGTCACATGTGCCTTGTCATGGAGTGGCTCAGGGCCCTGCTGAATGATGGGGAGCCAGGGGGATCTCACACACACACACACACACACACACACACACACACACACA